CATAACATTCCCAATAAAAACTTTAGACTCATGAATCTCTTGGAAGATCTTGAGATATCCAAAGAAATGAAACTAAACCCTGATTGTTGCTTAAACACACAAATCAACCTCAATTGCAATTATAAACCTCTTTTTAAATTATTATGGGAGACTTTAAAGGAAGAAGGGTGACCTCATGCAATCTAATTATATATTTTTTCATACTTTTATATTTTTAAACAAATTTTAAACTTTATTAGAAATTTACAACATTTTGTAATTCATTTGACAGTTATTCTTAATTGAAACATGAAAATACATTCTTAAAAAATTTTTTATGCAAATTTCTTACAAATTTCCATCAAGAGATACAATTCTCAATACCCTTAAGTATCAGATAACGTAACATTAATACCATGTTTCTTCTTTATATTATTGTTGAACAATTTGAGCCCTTGTTTCTTAAGGATGACTGTCAGATTGAACATACATTGACCTTGAGCAATGACTTGAGTGAATTTACAAACTAATGTCATTCTGTATGATGTGATGAACACATAAAATTTAATTTAAAAACTTAATTTTCAGAAAGTCTTTGATGACTATTAGTAATTCCAAACTATTAAATAATTTTGTAAGAAATTAAAAACCATTTATCTATCTCCTATATATGACATTTGTCAACTGTCACTTTTGAAAAATCGTTTAAAAGGACCGACATTTGATTTCATTAGTTCTATTCTGTCTACCTCCTCACATCAATCAATGGTCAGGTTCTTACACCCGTACCATGACAAAAAAATTTTTTCAATTTTTTTAACGTGTTTGTGAAGTCCAGTGTCGGCTTTTTATATGTTTTTTATATGTTTTAAGAATTTCAACAACTAAAAAAATCATAATTCTGAAATATAAGGAAATGAGATCTCTCCTTTGTAGTGGTATTTAAAAAATTGACGTAAGTTAAAAATTATAATCTTTACCAATTAGTACTTATAAGAACATTTTATTGTAGCATAGCTCTGATGATGGCTTTGTAAAGCCGAAAGCGCTCAGCTAGGAATTGCCTAAAATATACACACTTCAAAAATACTTTTTTACATTTTCTTTCGACTATGTCATATTATCATAATATGGTCACGAAGATCTTAAATAAATAAAACTTCGCATTGTCAAATATTTTGAGAGTAATTCAGTAAATATAGAAAGCTCTGATTTTGACATTTATTCATAAAACAATATCTTGACGTTTATTAAACATTTTTGTAAAGTGAATTGTATTAATAAACAAATATTACAATTTAAAAGCTTTACAATAAAGATGGTGTTTAATGAAAAAGAGCGAATTACTGTTTTAATGATAAGGGACTACGGTGATAGAAAAATATATAGTGTAGTATTCAACTTTTCTACTAGTCAAATGATACTTTTCAAAATTATTTTCCTATCCATAAGGTGATGGTACAAAAAATTTTAAGGCGCTTTGAGAAATCTGGACAAGTAGTAAAAGCATAGCATTTGTGCTTAAACGTTTTTGTTATTTTTTAGAGTGACTGCACTCTTCGACTACAGGAAATTTCAAAAAGAGAATACAGATTTCCAACCTCCCCCATTTATTGAAGACTCTCTGAAATTTGTAAGAGAGAAAAGCCAGAAAGGTCCTTTATGTCTGAAAACTCACTTACCTTGGGTGCTGCTACCTCAAGAAATACAAAATAATACAAAACAGCCAAAGGTATGAAACTATTTTTTATATAAATATGATATTAATGGTTTTTTAATTTTTGAATCATATTACCACCCTTAATTTTAAGCCATTACCTAAGCCAACCCTTAGCAATAATTCCTAATACCTATTTTAACCCCTAGTCAAGTGCAGACATTCATAGACAATGCAAACGAAAAATATCTCTTTTTTGACCAGTGGCTCTCGTAGACAACAGAAGCTTGTTTGGCATCTCTCTTACTGAGTTTGGTACCAGTAACAAATAGACGTGTTTTTAGCTCTATTTGATATTGTTTACTGCAAACAACAGATGTGTATGTCTTCTACCTTAATTTGGTTGCCTTAGATACATACCCTTTTTCGCTGTCTCCTCTCATACTGAACGACTACTCAAAAAAACAGTACTGTGTATACAGTAAAAACACCACAAATTTGTTATAGTCAAACACTAAAGGTAATCTGCTAAAGGCAATTAAAGCTTGAACGAGAAACAACCACGTGTGATCCCTGCTTATATTACTACAGTGCGTGAGTGTATATAGCAGTAATATTGGTATTAACTTGATTTAGCTATTGGACTAGCTATTAGAGGAGCTATTAGGACTATAACAGTTCTAAAACTCTGAAATTATTTTAATAATTTCGGACATGTACATGCTTGAATCTTTTAATTGTCTTCACAAATTCATACACACCTATTAACAATGAATATCGCATCATCATCATTGATGAAAATTACATCAATTTACAAAAGATGTTAACAAAAATAGTGTAAATAAAAATACTGTCCACGAAACGATATATCAGTAAAGATGTAACAGTTCTTAACAGATTCACAAGAGATAGCGATCACAAAATGGTCAGAGCAAAAATTAGTATTGACGGTAACTATGAGATGAAAAGAAAAATAAGTAGAAACTGCGATCTAGTAGATAGAAACAAACTAGGGCAATATAAAGAGATATACAAAGACCTATTAAAAGAACAACTTACCCAAAAATTAGACAGTGATGATAAAGATATAGACGAAATAGACAACATACTTACAGCAACAATGATTACATCAAGGAAAAGAAATAGCAAAAAAGGATCTAAAAAAGAACAACTATATATCAACAGAAACAAAGAAGCTTATGGATAAAAGAAGGAAGCTGAACGAAGGAGGCAAAAGGAAATCTATAGAATATGTCAAAATCAATAAAACAATTAGCAGAATGATAAAAGAAAATAAGAGAAAAGAACAAGAAATAAAAATAGAAGAAGTAATACAAAACAACAAAAATTTGAAATGCTTAAGGCCGAAATTAGGTAAGTTTGACATAAACAAAATAAAAGATGTAAATGGAGTAGAAACAAACGTTAAAGATGACATCATAAATATAATCCACCATTTCTACTCAGAATTATATAAAACAAAAAAGGAACCACCAGAAGAAATTAAAAACCAACTTAAGTTTAAAATAAAAAATGTCAACTTAGAGCTACAGCCAGAAATAAGCAAATCAGAAATAAAGAAGGCATTGAAAGAAATGAAAAACAACAAATCGCCTGGAAAAGATGGAATAACTGCAGAAATGCTGAAATATGGTGGAAAAGTGGTAATGAATACTCTACATCCCCTTTTTAACAAGATATTAAAAGAAAAAAGAATCCCAAACAACTTCAAGGAATCAGTAACCACTATCCTACAAAAGAAAGGGGATAAAGCAGATATAAAAAAACTACCGTCCTATAACACTCCTCAATGTAATGTATAAACTCCTAATAAAAATTTTAACCAATAGATTGACGACAAAATTTGATGGATACCAGTCGAAAGAACAAGCTGGTTTTAGAAAGGGATTCAGCACAAGTGACCATTTACTAAGTATGAAAATACTTATAGAACAAGCGAATGAATACCACATTCCTCTATATATGGCGTTCATAGATTTCGAAAAGGCTTTCGACAGAGTTGAACATTGGGCAGTGAAAAGTTCTTTGATTAACAGCAAAATTAACCACAGATATACGGAACTAATAGCCAATATATATAAGGAAGCCAAAACAACAATTAAAGTATATGAAGGAACAAAATCAATACAAATAGATAGAGGCGTGAGACAGGGTGATACAATATCACCGAAACTTTTTATTCAGGCTCTTGAAGTCTTGAAGATACTTTTAAAAGATTAGAATGGGACGAAAAAAGTATAAAAAATTGTGGACAACGCTTGAACCATCTAAGGTACGCTGATGATATCGTATTGATAACTGATAAAAAAGAAGAATTATTTGAAATGATGAAAGAACTGGACGTAGAAGCTGGAAAGATAGGCCTTAATATGAATTACATCAAGACCAAAACCATAACAAATACAGATGAAGACATCACAATGAGAATCGGACAAGATGAAATAGAACAAGTTCAGGATTATATATATCTTGGTCAAACTATAAAACTTAACAAAGAGAACCAAACAGCAGAGATAAAGAGACGAGTTAGACTGGCATGGGCGGCATTTGGCAAACTAAGCTACATTCTTAAAAACAAAAGATATCCACAGCATCTTAAGACCAAAGTATACAATCAATGCGTACTCCCTGTTCTTACTTATGGTTCCCAAACGTGGACATTTACAAAAGCAAATATGTACAAAATCATAAAAACTCAAAGAGCAATGGAAAGACAAATGTTGCACATAAGACAATGGATAAAAAGAGAAACGAGTGGATAAGAGAGAAAACAAAAGTGAGGGATGTTAGACAAGAAGTTGCAAAATTGAAATGGAGATTTGATGATTAAAATGGAGATGATATCAGGAAGCACGTGGGCTCTACGTGGATGACTGTAGCGACAGGCAGAGAATTATGGAAAAGGATTGGGGAGGCCTATGTCCAAAGATGGACCGAAGAAGGCTAATTAGATAGATAGATAGATAGTTAACAAAAATACTAGAAATAAGCAACGACTATAGCAATAAAGAAATATCATACCTATTTGAGGAGCAACATTGTTTTTTATTCATTATTGAAGCACACATGACATTACGGGTGGTAGGACTGCGCGAGTATAAGAGAAAGAAATAAAACCTATGGCACAAATTTTTGCTGGTTTGAATTCTCATTGTACAAATGAGCTTCTTAAAATATTAAACAAAGTTGGCGGTAACCTGTATAGCCTACATAATATGAATTAGAAAGACAAACTAATCGTATCAGTCGATCTTGAAGAAATTTTCTTGAAGAAATCAAATCAAATGTAGCCACTTATTTTAGAGGTTGATATAAAAAATATTTATTATATTTTATATTATAGATTATATACGTTACAAGGAATCCAAAAGACACATGTATTTCATATTACAATCATTCAAGATTAATGGAAGGATACAGAGGGAGTTTTGTAGAATTTTGTCAGCTATTTTTGGCTGGAAAACGTAAGTACATGTTTTAAAAATTAAAAACATAGCATATAGATAATTACAAACTCTAAAACACTAAATAAATGTATTTATTCTATTGAAGCCAATGGTTTTAGCAATACTTGTTTTTCGTGCAGCAAACTGATTTACAAGTGAAAATGGATGATAAATAGGGTTTCTTACACAATAAGAGTAAATTAAAAAAAGCAATGACATCTGCTAATAGGGGTGAATTTTTTATTCTCCAAAAATTTTTTACTAGATTTTGTATGGATAATTCATACAGCATATTTAGTAGGCCACTTGTTCTAGCCCTTAATTTTAATACATATTTTGTTGCTAATAAATTTCTACGATTTTCTAATGGCATTTCATTACTTTCAGCAAGTAACAGGGGCCATGGTGTTGATTTCATAGCACCCAAAGTTAATCTCTACCTTTTAAACTGAATACGATCTATTTTTAGTAAATATGTTTTGCTTGCTGATCTGTATAACACACATCCGTAATCCAAAATTGATCGCACTTAGGTCCTGTAAAACATCAATGCAACTTTGGGATCAGCACCCCATTTCCTGCAATTGACACATTTAAGGAGATTGATGACTTTCTTACATCTTTTTTTTACATATTGGACATGTTTAGATCATAGTAATTTGGGGTCTAGGATTATACCAAGATATTTATACTCAGTGACAACGGGTATATCGTATCCTGACAGGTGTATAGTATCAGGCGTACATAACCTATGTCTTGTAAATATCATAATGGCAGATTTTTATGGGAATATAGTAAGCTCGTGGTCTTAAGTCCAATTATCTACTAGTTTCATGATGTGTTCCAGGATCTCCACACAATCGTCATATGAATCATCGGCGTGCTGTATACATTTTATGGAATCAACAAAAATGTCGTGTATACTTGCCGAAAATATGTTGAAGAGAATTGGGCTTAATACAGACCCCTGTGGTAATCCTGTATGAGTTATTCGTGGACCATGTGATTACTATGGTCTCTGATATATAAAGTTCGGTTGCTAAAGAGATTAACTATATTAGCGGATAAATTTGTGAACAACCCCAGTTTGCATAACTTTGAATGCATTACTGTTAAATTAACACAGTCGTAAATGCCTTTAAGGTCTAAAAAGAAACATGCTAAATATTTATTTTTAGAAAAATTTAGTTGGATATCTGTTGTTAAGTGACTTATTGCATCTAGTGTTCCCAGACCAGATCGAAATCCATATTGAGTGCTTGGCAAAAGATTATCCAGTTAAGACGATTTTTGATGATTCTTTCGAAAGTTTTTGTTATACAAGACAATAGAGAAATGGGTCGATAAGACGATGAGAGAGTTTTGTCTTTGTTGGGTTTGATAAAAAGACATATAATTGTTTCTTTTATTTTGTGAAGGTAATTTCCTTTCAAAAGCCAATCATTAAATATTTGTAATAAACGATTTTTTGCCTTAACGGGAAGGTGGTTAATTATGGAATAAGTGATATAATCTTTCCCGGACGCAGTAGATTTTGATATTTTAATAGCTGCATCCAGTTCTTGGATGTTTATTGGATTTTCTAGTAATTTAAATTTACTGGAATTGCATATTGATACGTGTTTTAATTGGGTTTGAACGTATGGTGGAGCGAACTTGTCAAGTAACTCTTCTATTAGCTCTGTTGAAATTGGTTGTGTCTTTGAATGATAATCTTTGTTAGCCATTTTATTAACTAATTTCCATATTTTGTTGAGCGATGTATTTTTATTGATAGTATTTACAAAGTTGATCCAAGATGTTTTTTGTTTTTTCATAAAAGCAACTTTGCATTTGGCTTGGATGTGTTTAAATTTTAGATAATTTTCAAGATTTGAGAGCCGTCATTGAGTAAAATTAGATTAGTATTGTCTAAAGCGTCAGCTAAAATATCACCTTGTGCACTATCCTGTATGGAACCCCACCTACAGTGATGACTATTAAAGTCGCCCCCAATTAAAACTCTGCCTTTAATTTGTCTAAATAAATTTTCCCAATCTTTGGATGAGACATATATTTTAGGAGGTTTGTAAACACATAGTATTGATAATTTTACTTGTTCTAGAAAAATACCGCAAACCTTTTTATTTGGATTATAATTTGTTTTAAATTTTATATCTGAAAAGGAAATATTGTTTGCAACTAAAACAGCAACGCCTCTATAGCCATCACGTCGATCAACTCTAACATTATTAAAACCTTTAATATATAAATTTTTATTTTGTGACAACCAAGTTTCGTTCAGAAGAATGACATCAATTGTATGACTTTCTAGAAAATTAAGCAAATTAGTCTTTTGTTTTATAATAGATTGGCAGTTCCACTGAAGAATATTAAGTGTTCTATGATTCCCCATCACTATCGTTGTCTGATAAACAAGAAAGTATATTTCTGATTTAATTTTGAGTGACTTTTTGGAATTCAACTGAGACTAGTTTGGGGTCAATTTGTTTAATTATTCTTTCTAAAGCAAACGGAATTTCTTGTAGAATGTGTAATTGTATTTTTTCTTTATATGCTATAAACTCATTACGATATGGGTTAGGAATTATAGGATGTGACACTGATTTTGTTTTAGAAGTTGAAGGAAATTGTAAGGCAGTTTTACATTGAGTCGGGGATATGGCTTTTCGTTTAAGACGATTAGAACTTTGTTTAGGTTTAGGAACGAATAAATTGTTTACTGTACGGTCGTTGGGGAAAGTTATTTAAGTTACTAAGCAATTCAAATTTATTATGTGTCGTGATTTTGGCATAGGATGGATTTTTTGCTATAAACCCAGCTATATGGTTAGCATCCCTAACAGAATTACCACACATATTCCACTATAATATATCTAAACGATCAGCAATAACTATCACAAGATTAAAAACTAGTCACGGTGCTGTTCCTGCTCACCTGGCTAGATTAAACATTATAGAATCAGGAAAGTGTTTATGCGATAATATTTCCCAGTGTGATGTTTATCACATCCTGTTTGGATGTATTCAAAATAAAGCACTCTCATCTACGTTTTATAAAAACCTGGTTAAAAGTAATGTGCAACTTCCATTAAACATAACCCACCTACTGTCATTGAATCAGAAACCTATATACGAACTCATATGTAATCACTTATATGCATCCGGATATATAATATAAATTTAGTACAATCAAGTTTTTAATTGATAAACATAACATAAATCATTTAAAAATCTGTGGCAAAAGGACTAGTTTCCATGCCAAACACACTATCATCATCATCATCATCATCATAATTTTTATTTGCTAAATTTTATTTAAGTATGCTACGTTTTTTAAGACAATATGGCTTATTTGTGCACAAGAGGCTTATATGTGTGCAGAAGGTCTGAAAAGAACTATATTACAAAACCCAGAACTATAAATCAGTTTTAAAAATCTTTAAAAAATAGTCGATTAATATACACATCGAACATGATAGCTATTGTAGCTACACAATGATTACACTGGTTAATTTAGATTTAGACATAACCATTAAATTAAATAAACATTTTACTTAACAACGAAAATAAATCCAAATCCAATCATTTTTTTTTCGCTCACGTAATCCCATAAAATCAAATATTATTTTATTCATCCTGTGGTAACTACTCAATTTTACTGTTATATCCGTGAAATTTCCTCGTTTATTTAATTTAAACTTCAAATTTCCCTATGAATCTCGGTGCTAAATTAATATAACGTTCACAAATATTTTACCTATGCGTATTTCGCATGATGTTTGTGGTTAGCGGTTTCACATGTTGTTGATGGTTATTTGTTGTTATTATTGAAGGTTTATGAGTAAATAAATGTAAAATATTTTATTAAATTAATTAAAAATGAAAAACGCTGTTCAAATATACTTCTATATATTTCAATCATCATTTGGCATGTTTATATTTTTAAACTACGTTTTAAAATGCCGATACAAAGTCGCATTCCTCTGGGTTATATTTCGCTAAGCTTATTTTTCCAAAAGTCCATCTATGTCGTTGCTGAACACAAGAATGTTTTCTGAAGCGGAAAAAGGCAGAAGGCAGAATATCTTTATCTCTTTTAAGGTACAATGTAATAATAGTAGGTACCTGAATATAGTAGTATCTATTCTTTTAATCTAGATTTATATAAGTTAGAAGCATTGACAGATAGGTTCAGGTCTCTAAGATAGTCATTCAGTTCTTGTTAAAACGAAAAATAAGAAAACTGAATTAGGATTCCAAAACTAAATTTATTCTTCTTCTTCTTCTGGTAGCACTACAACCCGGGGTGGGTCTTGGCTGACTGCACAACCTGCTTCCATCTCGAACGGTCGTCCATGATGTTTAAGTCAGTGGGTAGCCCCATTGTTCTCAAATCTGACCATATATTATCTCTCAATCGCATTCGTGGACATCCTAAGGGCCTTCTTCCTGTCGGGACTTCTTCCCAGATTAACTTGGTAAGGCGGTTATTAGGGAGCCTATGAACATGGCCAGCCCATCTTAGACATTGGGATTTAATCTCTTGGACTACGTCGCTAGCACTATACATTTGTTTGACCTCGGCATTTGTTCTCATTCGGTATTGGTTAGTATTCGGATCGTGATAGGGACCGAAGATCTTTCTGGGGATTTTTCTCTCAAAGCATCTGAGTTTACTTTCCATTGCTTTTGTCAGCGTCCACATCTCACACCCATACATGAGCACCGGTCTAATTACTGTTTTATATATCCTGATTTTTGATGTTCGTGTTAGGCTCTTAGATTTAATAGTGTTGTGGAGGCTATACATACATCTGTTTGCTGCCTTAATTCTCCCTTTTATCTCTTCCGTGATATCGTTATCTGTGGTGATAGTCGCTCCGAGATATTTAAAACTCTCCACTCTTTTAACTCCAAAGTTATAGGGGTCTATTGTTACATTTTGTCCTATTCTATCTCGTCTCTTTTGTCTGTTAATGCACATATATTTGGTTTTCTCTTCATTGACCCTTAGA